TTGCACTGGGAGTGGGCACTCGAGAAGTGTGGGTCTTGGGGACCAGTGTTTGATGGGTGTTGACAGCCTCCATTTCAAAGCCTGCGAGAGCGGCCTTGCCTTGCACAACTCCTGGGGACACAGTTCACGTGATGTGGTTGTGCAAGGCAATGGCCCTGGCCCTCGGGGAGCAGGTCCCTGGAAGTAAGGCGACTGCTGAGGCTGGGGAGCCCGGGAGCAGGAGCTGAGCAGGTGCCTCCTAGTGCCACCAGGACCCCTGAGTTGGAGGTGGGGTCAGCAGAAACCTGGTCCTGTGTGGGGGAGGCTGGGGGAGAGCAGGGAGCAGCAGGTGTCCTGTGCACTTCAGGGGGCGTGGGGTGGGAAGGACCCAGGTGTCCACTTAGCTCATGCTCCCCTTGGGGTTTTCTCTGCTTCGAAAACTTGAAGCTGCCCCTGAAGCTGCCTCAAGGGCCTTTGGGTCCCTGGAGAGAGGACTTGGGGAGAGCTGGGCTTCCTCCTGGTTGGCCCTGCAGCCCCCGTGCCCCCGGCGCAGAGCCAGGCCTGCCTGTGCTGCAGAGCTGCGGGCTGCGGGGAGAATGAGTAATGAGCCTGAGGGGCCGCAGCCCAGCCCCTGCCCTTGTCCCTCCCGGGATGGACCACAGAAGCCCAGCCTCTGCCCCCACAGTACCCACAAACACGTGCCTGCCAGCGGCAACCCCCACTCTCCCACCACACCCAGCCGTGGACTCGCCCCCTCCTGGACTCTCAGCCACTTTGCACCCGCCCCCAACGAGGTGACCAGACCTCAGCTCAGAGCCCAGGTGTCTGCTGCCCAGCCTTGGGAGGCCTCTCTCTATCTGTCCTCCAGTTTTCCAGAATGGAGGGAGACCCTGACCCTAGGCCTTTCACAAGAACCCCACTGCCATCTCCCTAGAGGATAGGGACTGTGAGTGTGACAGGGGCCTCTGGTGGGAGGTAAGGGCAGGGCTTTGAAGGGATCACCTCCTCCCTGGGCTGGGCGGGGCTGGGGATGGACAGCAGCACACAATCCCATTCCCTCCGCTAGTGGAAATCAATAGCTAATTAATTCCCTCCCCAAAATAGTGTCCAGAGGTGGGGGTGGGGGCGGGGGCCAGGAGGGAGGCAGACAGAGGCTAGGCCAGGCAAGACTGACTGAGACCCCGAACGAGGAGGTAGGGGGATGGCCAGTGTTCTGGTCACTGGGGCTAGGCCTCTGCCCCTTCTGGAGAAAAAGGGGAGTATTTCCTGTCCTCTGAGCCTCAGGGACCCCCTCCCCTGCCCTGGACTGAGGTGGGGGTGCCTATGTGTGTGTGGGGGTGAGGGCGTCAATCAGGCTGGGAGCAGGTGCTGCATTTAATTTGATTGGCTAATTAGCCCGCGCATGTTAATTATCTCTATTACCCAATGAGGAGAGGCAGCGGCAAGCTATATATAACCCCACAGTGTTTGTGGGGAGTGGGGGCTACAGGCCTGTATTGCCTTCCCTGCCTGGGAAGGGGCAGTCCTTGGAGGGAAGCTGGGGCAGGACATGTGGGTCCCCCATGGGAGCCTGTAAGGTTGGGAGGACAGCAATCAGGAGGCCGATGGAAGGGGTCTTGTAGGTCTCTTAGAGATGTCTCTCCAGACACCACTGATGGCTTTTGAGCCTTCTCTGCCCATCTTCCTTCTGCTTGCAGGTCACTCTAGCCAGCCCTACCCTCCTGGGACTCGGCTCCTCCTTCACTATGGTCTTTTAGGGGGGCCTGAGCTTCCTCTTCTTAGCTCAGCTTCCTCTCCCAGCTGGGGCTCCTGGCCCTGCCCCTGCACCCACCCCCTCTCCAATCCAGCCTTCTTTTTGTTCCCACCTGGGTTGCACCTGTGGCTGTCCTGCCCTTTGTCCCCTTCATGGGCATGCTGGAGTTGACAGTCTTGGATCTGAGGCCGAGTTCCCTGCTGACCAGCTGCATGACCTTGGGCAATTACCCAGACTTCTCTACAAGGGCTTCCCCAAGGGTTAATGGGAATAATGGGACTTCTCAGAGTGATTAAGTAAGATGACATTTATAAAAATGCCCAGGATCTGGGTCCTTGATGAATGCTGTTCGAATTTGGAGTTTAATTTTCTCAATCTTCTCTTTCTTTTCTCCTCGTCAGGCCTCCCTTCTCTTCCATTATTCTTCCATCTCTGCCACTTTTCCTGAGCTCTTCTCCTTCCTCTTTCTCCCTCCACCCCACCTTTCCCTGTCTCCTCCTAAACTCTGGCCCCTCCCTGTTTCTCTTCTAGGCTTCTCCCCACCTCCTTCCCTCCCTCCCTCCCCAAAATAAAATCAATGCAATATTCAGGAGGGTTGTTGGATATAAATAATTACGACTCAGAGTTTAACGAGATGCAAATTCCCCTCCCCGTTGTGGGGTATAAATTGCTCTCTGACAGCCAGTTACAAGGGTAATCATTTCAGAAAGGCAATTTTATGCAAATGAGCCTGCCTGCCTCCTGGTAGCTCCCCCAGCCCTGGGTGGGGGACCGGGAAGAACTGAGGGGTGAAGAGATCCCAAATAGTGGGGCCAGTCCTGGGGCTGAGGATTTGAAGCTGGAGGTTGAGGGTGACACATACTTAGCCTCAGAAGGACCTGAGCTGGTGAGCAGTGAAGTTGGAGCCCCGGGAGGGGTGAGTGTGATTTGGGGGGAACTGGAGACTCAGAATTGGATGCCTGTGTCCTTGCAGGGATGAAAAGGCTTTGGGGTGTGGGTATCTGAGCGACTCCTGGCTTCTATCCTTTGCCCCCTTCCCAGGCTGGTTACCCTGTGACACCATTGACGAATTGGCATTTAATTAATCTCAATGAATTATTTAGCAACTTCATTATCCAGCATCAAGAGCTGATGAGAGAGCGAGTGATCCCTGGCTAGAGGTGGGAGCCACCTCACAGAGGTTGGGTGACTTAAAAAGAAGGGGGTGGGGTCACCTGTTGGAGAGATCCTAGGTCTCACTCCCAGGAGCTGGCCTTGGTCCTGACGCCCGGGTCTTTTGAGGGGTCAGTGTGAGGCCAGCAGGATTGGACTCCTACTGAATTCCAAGGTGTCACTTTCCCACCCGTCCACATCTCAAGCCAATAATGTCCCTTCCGGGTGCTGTCTCTCCCCAAGTGTTGGGTTCCCAGTACTTCCATCCGCGATTATGTTTCTTGCTTCAAGACACACTCCAGTTCAGGGCCAGCTCAAGTCCTAAAGAAAAACAGGTGGGCATCTGTTGGTTTGAGGCGGGAGCCAGACACCGACGGGCCCTGATCCCCCCGAAACCCCCCATTAAAGCTTTCTTCTC